ATATGTCTGGGTGGGTTTACACATCCTGTTTACCCGGTTTACAGGGTTTATTTTTACCATGACCTCCGAGCCCCGGGGTCACGGTGTCAAGCTCCGAGGTCGGCCCCACGCTGATGTGGATGGACAGCAGAGCACCTCCAAGTGTGATGTGTGTGTGTGTGTTCACTTGTCCGGCAGTGGTCCACTGATGGCTTGCTTAGGGTTTCACAGAGGACTTATCTGTGTGTGTGTGTGTGTGTGTGTGTGTGTGTGTGTGTGTGTGTGTGTGAAGCCTGAATAAGATATCAAAGGTCCTCTTTACAGCCTCACAGCTGCATAAATATCCATCAGGTAATGTTTCAAACAGAGAGCCATTCTTCTCTTTCAACTGTGCAGGGAATAAACAAAAACTAGACAAAAGACAACAAGGTCCCTGCTGACCGTGCGAGCAGCCCTGGGTCTTGCAGAGGAAGAGACCGCGAGGCCGAGCTCTGATGTTTATGTCGTGACCTGAAGAAAATGCATCTTCAGTGTGTTCGCTCCGTTGCTCTCTCGTGCAGATGGGCTTTCATCAGAGCAAAGAGGACGGTTGTTGTCCTTATGTAAAAGGGATAAAAGCATGTACTTAAACAAGAGACCGAAATGCATGAAAACTAAAGGTAGAAAGAGGGTTTTTGATCTGAAAATGAAAGCAATATTTAGCCTACAAATGTATCCCTGTAATGGTTTAATCTGTCTCACACACGTTGTGAGACAAAGAGCAGCTAAAGCACCAAACAATGTGTCTCCACGGATGATTGTACGATGCAGAAAAGTTAAAAGATAGACACTTCTTCAAAGAACAGTCTAACATTTTGGGAAATTTAGATAAGAAGATTGACGAGAAAGATGGTTTCAAGGTATCTTACTGCTGGCAACTGGTTAGCTTCATTCTTATCCTTCAGCCTTCGTAAGAAATAGACATATGAGATATATTGTGTTAGTTGGTGAACTTTACAGCTACTGCGAGTAGGCATTGTTAGTCATGAGTCATTATTATCCAAAATAATTGTGATTTGCAATATTTTTAGACGGAGCCAGGCTAGCTGTTTCTCACTGTTACCATTCTTTGTGCTAAGCTAAGCTAACCGCCTCCTTGGTTGTAGCTTCACATTTAGCACACACTTATGAGAGTGGTAGCCATCTTCTCATCTAACGCTCGGCAAGAAAGTTTATAAAAGTATTTTCCCAAAATGTCAAACTATTTCTTTAACGCCCTCGAGTGTTTAAATGATGAGCAAACGGTAAAAATAGCATGACCTGACCCTGCAACCCGTAGTGGAACCGCGATTTTGAGATGTTCACATCCTAACATTCTTTTCTACTTCTTTCAGAAGAAATACCTTTTTATTTGTCAGTGGTGTTGAACTAACGTATGAAAGTACAAGGACATAACACATGCTGCTCCCACTCCCACACACACACACACACACACACACACACACACAGACGCATAAGAACACATATATGCTGTGAACTTTCATAATTACAAGAGGCTATACGATACTCGCTTTCGTGCAGCACGACATCCTGGAATATTTTCCGTTGTGTGTGTGTGTGTGTGTGTGTGTGTGTGTGTGTGTGTGTGTGTGT